CTGACCCCTGCCCCACACGGTCACTCTGCACTGACCCTTGCCCCACATGGTCACTCTGCACAGACCCCTGCCCCATACGGTCACTCTGCTCTGACCCCTGCCCCATACAGTCACTCTGCACTGACCCCACAAACATTGAGCAGTAGTTTCTGGTGAAGTTTGAGGGACAGTTTGAATGTTCTGCCTGATGCAGCAATCACATTGACACTCTTTCTGGTTTGGCCACTGTATTTTGCCTGTCTGAATGGTGATGCACACTCTTTTTGAGCAGAAGGAGAGACGGGGCCTGGTTGAAGCAGGTGTAGCTCAGTCCCAGGGTCACTCCTTACCGTATGGTGTTATAAATGTCACTGGATGCTGGCCATGTGTACAGGCAGCTCTCTCCCTGTTCCTGTGGCCTGGTCAATTTCCTGCATCAACTAACAGCACTCAGACGTGCCAAGATAAACTCTGCGGTAAACAGCAAAGGCTTAAGATCATTTCTTCTTGAATAAGAATTGGCAGATTGTGTCCTGAGATTCACAGACAGTGAACATACTGCTCCCAAAAGCAGTCACAGGCAGCTGGTCACAGAGAGCCTTTAGCCTTTGGTCAGTGGTCAGTGCAGTCAGACCCTTTAATGGTCTCATTCCACAACGATCTCTTATTGTTCTGAGGAATCACACTTGCCTTTTCCAAGAGGAAGTCCACAGAACAAGTATAAAAATAAAGTTACAAAAATAACTAATCAAGTTTTCTCTGGAAACTCAGCAAAAAAAGAAATCCTGTTTCTTCCTAATTCTGTGCGGAGTAAACGAGCGGTGGATATGTGTTATGTCAAATAGCATGGTTTGTGGTCAGGGGTCAGGGGTCGATGTGCACTCTGTGTATATGGGGTCAGGCAGTGGTCGGGTTGGAGTTGAGCTAATGATTGGGGTCAGTTCCCAAAAAGTAAAACTGTTTCTTGTTGTGACAGGTGTCCTGTCCCTTGTTGCTCATGTACATGACAGAGCAGGGACAGTCCAGCAACTGGTCATCGCTGCCCAGGATGCAGGAGGTCTCACATCATTGGTCAATGCCATGGTGAACATCAGCATCGTTTCGGGTACAGTCTCACCACCACTCTTTGAACAAGCTCAGTATTTCTTCACCATCCCTGAAGATGTGAGGAGAGGGTCCCATATTGGCTCTGTCAGGGCTGTAAACTCTCCAGGTGAGTCTGGGACATTTCAGGTGAAATAGGCTGTGGATTCTGGTAAAGAATCATCTTTGATCTCTGCCTAAGACCTCTGACCTGTACCAAAGAAACATGTTCATGATGCTGGAATTTTGTTCAATTTTATGCCACTCATGTCACATTTTTCACAAAAATTGTCATCAAATCCTGAACAGCTTAGTCGTTCTTGGTGATACGTTTAAAATACTCACATCCATCATTCACAAGAGCTTCACTCTGATTGCACATTGATCATTCTCAGTCTCCTCTCTCTGACTGGATAATCTTAGAATCATACAGTACAGGAGAGGACGTTCAGCCCAACAGCTCTGTACTAACAAAAGCACACATTAAATCTACAATTAGAACAAGTGTGCATTGAAGTACTTTACAAAGATTGTGATTTTTTCTCCCTCATCTTCCCTCCCAGGCAGTGCATTCCAGAACCATCTGGGTGAAAATATTTTTCCTCCATTCGCCTCTAAACCTGCTGCCTTTCACTTTAAAATTATGCTTCCTTGTTACTGACCTTTTAACTAAGGGGAGCTACTGCTTCCTATTCATAAAAGCCGAAAGAACTGCAGATGCTGTAAACCAGTTGCTGGAAAGACTGAGCAGGTCTGGCAGCAGTTCTGAGGAAGGGTCACCGGACCCGAAACGTTAACTCTGATTTTTTTCTCCACAGATGCTGCCAGACCTGCTGAGCTTTTCCAGCAACTTCTGTTTTTGCTTCCTATTCATCTTGTCCATGCCCCTCATGATCTTGTACACCTCCATCAGCCCATTATTCAGCCTTCTCTGCTCCAAAGAAAACAACCTGAGCTTATCCAGCCTCTCTTCATTACTAACCTGCTCCATTCTAGGCAACATCCTGGTGAATCTCCTCTGCACTTCTTCCTATAGGGTAGTGACCAGAATTGCACACAGTATTCCAGCTGTGGTCTAAACAAAGTCCTGTATGACTCCAACATCACTCTCCCTGCTCTTATAATCTGTGTTTCAACTGAAAAAGGCAAGTGGCCCATCTGCCTTCCCTCAACCTGATGAGATGACAGCTCTGGGGCTGCAGATGGACTCACTTCGGAGCATCTGCGATGCTGAGGAAGTCGTGAATAGCACGTTTAGCAAATTGGTCACACCGTAGATTAGGATCGCTGAGGGAGAAAGGGAATGGGTGACCAAAAGGCAGAGAAAAAGCAGGAAGGCAGTGCAGGTGTCCCCTGCAGTCATCTCCCTCCAAAACAGGTAGACCGTTTTGGATACTGCTGGGGGAGATGGCTCACCAGGGGAAAGCAGCAGTAGCCAGGTTCATGGCACCGTGGCTGGCTCTGCTGTACAGAAGGGCAGGACAAAGAGTGGAAGGGCTATAGTCATAGGGGATTCGATTGCAAGGGGAATAGGTAGGCAGTTCTGTGGTCGAAAACGAGACTCCCGAATGGTATATTGCCTCCCAGGTGCACAGGTCAGGGATGTCTCAGATTGACTGCAGGACATTCTGAAGAGGGAGGGTGAACAGCCAGCTGTCGTGGTGCATATAGGCACCAATGATATAGGTAATAAACGGGATGAGGTCCTACAAGCAGAATTTAGGGAGTTAGGAGACAAGTTAAAAAGTAGGACCTCAGAGGTAGTAATCTCAGGATTGCTACCAGTGCCATGTGCTAGTCAGAGTAATGAAAGAATAGGCAGGATAAATGAGTGGCTTGACAGATGGTGCAGGAGGGAGGGGTTCAGATTTTTGGGACATTGGGACCGGTTCTGGGGGAGGTGGGACTATTACAAATTGGACGGTCTACACCTGGGCAAGACTGGAACCAATGTCCTAGGGACTGCTTTTGCTAACACTGTTGGGGAGGGTTTAAACTAATGCGGCAGGGGGATGGGAACCAAATGAGGAGGTTCATGGACAGTAAGGAGGTAGTAACTAAAGCCTGGAAGGAACTAGATAATGAAGTCAGTGTGACTAAGGGGAAGAGGAGGCAGAGAGCAGATGATGAACGCAAAGGGACAGGTGGTCTGAGGTGCATTTGTTTTAATGCGAGAAGTGTAGTAGGTAAGGCAGATGAACTTAGGGCTTGGATTAGTACCTGGGAGTATGATGTTATTGCTATTACTGAGACTTGGTTGAGGGAAGGGCAAGATTGGCAACTAAATATCCCAGGATATAGATGCTTCAGGCGGGATAGAGAGGGAGGTATAAGGGGTGGAGGAGTTGCATTACTGGCCAAAGAGGATATCACAGCTG